GAGAAGAGCTACAAAGAAAGTGATTGGGCTACGGCACAAACCGTACCCAGACAGCTTAGTTGCTCTTCAGCTGCACCCAGTACAATACTGGAGGAGAAGAGGGGATATGATCTTGATGTACCACATCGCCCATAATCCCCCCCATCCTAACAGATCGCTTCTAAGCTTCAGTCAGAAACGTGACCTGAGGGGTCACCCATTAAGAGTAGAGCATAAAAGAGCACGTACAAAGACCCGTGCTAACTCATTTGCAGTTACAGTCTGTAAACTGCGGAATTCCCTCCCTTCAGTAGTTGTTACAGCCTCATCCCCTGGTACTTTTAAAAAGAGGTTAGACGCATACCTCGAGTCGTACGGTACCGGTGGGCTGTTCTCGAGAAGCATTCCCCAGATCAGATGCAGTAATACCTTGAGACCAGATTTATTAATTAATCGTATCTCTATCCTTTCATGTTTTTCAGAACCGGGAAGATAATTGTGACCATTCCGAACTCAGAACGTATTTCAATAAGACAGACCTAGAACCCTAGGAATCGCCGTTCACTAATTCTATAACACAAAGTTTGAGGTTTGAAGTTCAGTTCCTCGAAAACAGAAGGAAGCGGCAAAACGATTAAGGTTTGCTGTCAAGTCGAATATGTACAAAGTAAACGGTTTATGTGCATTTGTTGATGGCCTAGGAGACTTCTGCACTTTTTCAGAAAGCTTTTTAATCAATTTGTGTTTCACAAGTATAGTCACGTGGTTTTTCTCAGGCGTTTGACACAGTATGGTGGGATACGAAGCGTTTTCAGGGATTTCCAGGCTTCCTAAGAAGCATCAAATTTGATTAATCTGTAGGATATTGTTTCACTAAATAAGCCCCTACTTCCTTAAAAAACTATGTACAGCAGCGTTGCTTGGGATTCACCTTGAGCTTCCTTATGGGTTTCCTGGATGGAGTAGTTCGACGCTGTAGTGGACCAGTAGAACTTTGGCAATTCACCTTGTGCTTTGGAACTTGTAAATTGTTTCGTGATCGTAATGAACTGTCCAGTAACATGTCGAGTGGTAAACAGGGTGCATGTAGTTTTTACTGTAGTCTTAATTTATTTACTGTCGTTACATAACAACTTTGAAGCTGACGAGAATTATGTTTTTCTGTTTACCCCCATAAACAACCCCTAGTTTTAATCATTATAAGACTTTCCTTCTCAGGACCTTTATCAGTTTTCACACCTTGTGATTTACTTTTGCGCGTGGAATGTTACCGTTTGACCAATAGCGTTTAAATTGTCAAGAAAGTTGCAGAATCAACCAGTTAGGACTATAGATTTATTTGATGACAAGTTTTCACCGTTAAAAAATTAGTTGCATTTGACATCAAACTGACTAGTCAAATGGGCCACAGTTGTTCTGTAGAATCCTTGTATGGTGATAGTCCATCAATACTTAGTTGCAACTCAATAGCCTCACAGGTATTCATCCTTTCGCATTAAAGTGTTAGGATACTTAGCTTCTTTTGTAGCTCGAAACAAAGATAGGGGTCAGACTCAGTGCATCTTCTCAGGCAGTTTTTAGGTGCTTAGTTCAAAATTATTCAATGGTCTGTTGGCGTTTTCTGCACAAATCAGTGTACAATTTGTAATATTCTCTTCTGAGCTTCAAGTGATATGTCTTACAGCAGACATATTTCAGCAGCTGCACTAAAAACGTCGTTGCTCATCTTATTTTAGTTGTTTTTTTTTCACTGGTTGCACCTACCTCAGTTTTATTAGGTTATGATAATACAGTGTACCTTCACGGTTGACCTCCTTCTGCATATACTGTTCATCAGCTGAGATGTTATCGAAGGTGCACTCAGCTACGTTCTCTTTCGTAACATCTTGAATGAAAGTTGGGATAGAAAATGTCGGGCTGATGTGTAACGCTTTAAGCTCGACCTTGCAGACCATGGAAACTGTTCTGTTTAGACTGAAATTCACCATTAACCTTGAATAAGAAAATAATATGAGTTTTAAGTGGTCTCATCCGAAGTACTTTTAGATTTAGAGTCATTCGTGTGGACCTGCAATTCTGGATGCAAAATTTTTTTGGGTGCCCTTAATTTTTAGTTTGTCGTCAACAAGAATACCCCTAAATGTAAACTGGCAGTGTTCTAATAGAGGTCGTGGGCAAGTTTTATGGAGTAGTGAATTGGTACCTTGAGGTAAGAGTTAGGGATTACGCATCCTGAAAAGTTGTTTGGTTTACGAGTTTGTAACACCACTTGTCCGGAGAATGTGGGGTCACCTGAGTACCCTGGTCCGATTTCACGAATGCTTTTAAGAGCTAGTGGTTTCGTAGACGGAAGATGTAGCTGCACGCCAACCAGGAGAGCATTAAAACATATTTACCACCACTTGTATATCTTGAGCTAAAGTTTCCAGGCAGTGGACTGTATAGGCTATAGGTCAGGCTCACTTTGTACTTATGCTTGAAAACGTAATAGACCATCACAACAAAATGTCTAGGGAGCTTTGGGGTCATCAGGAAACAAGAAGGGTCTGCAGTATGTAAAGCAGCCTCAAACGTTATGTGCTTATGGACTAAAGGGAAGCGGAAGTAATACACCACCTTGAATTATGCGAGAGGTAACTGGCATGGGTTTTGAAATTTGTGAATCTAGTTTTACACCTTGGGTCTGATTGTTAGGTACAGATTTAATTTATCCCAGCTACAAATTGTCAAGTTTCAAAGATCGTAACTTAGTTCTTGATAGTAAGTGGTCAACTCTTTCAAGTACCCTGAAAATGTCTCAATAAAACACATAGACCGATTGATGCCGGTCACACATGATAGCTCTAGGGTTGAGGATGACAAGTTATGCAGGATCTCGATCTTAACAATCCATTTTGACTGGGAGTGATAGTGGTTTCACTAAGTGTTTGCTGAAAAATGTTTTTTCAAACAATTCCTTCCACAATCCTAGATACCACTGACGTAATATTTATTGTTTTATAGTTATTGGTTTGTGTTTTTGAGTCGTAAGCATGTCTGGGTAGGGTAACTGACATTCTCCAGATATCGGGATAAGGAAAAGACTCTAGGGACACGGAAAATATCCTAAATGATAATAAAGAAACATCAAAGCCAACATATTTTGAGAAATAAGATTTTATTCCCTCTATGTCAGCTCTGCTGGAACATTCTGGCTTTTCAGTATCTTGATTTCTGCGAGCACATAAGAACATAATTTCTCGATTTGGTGTCACTGTAAGAGAGAGATAATATTTCATGACAGAATGTATTTTTATCACAGAGGAGGATTATGGGTTCTAGATAACTTACTGTAGATATGATGCTGAATTTTTGATACATATCTATCGGGTTTCGTAACACTTGGGGACGGTGAATAAGCGAAGAAGTGCTATGTAGTATGCAGTTTCAATCGATTCTCATGGAGCGTAGGGAAAAAATATATTTTAAATGAGCCAACTAGTGCCATACTCTATTCACTAGTCATATGCATGTCGTTGAAACCATACAACAGGACAGCAGGATCCAGATAAGTGTCAAAGCTGCAGTAAAATATACTTAGTGATAATTTGGGGTTAGCAGTGATGGAGTGTGAATCCCGGCCGATACTTCCAATCAATGGATAAATGAGTTTCCAGTTGACTCTACCTTAATCTTTATGTACTATATTTTGTACGGTAGAATTACCAAGTGAAATGGTAGTGTACACAATACTGCTTTGTACTTACTTCACGTGAACTTGCAGTCTACATGCTTCGAAAGATGATTTTTTCAGTGGTAAATTATGGGGCATAATGCATTGGGACCTCTTTTAGGAGTTGCAAACATCTGTTTCTCACCAAAAATATCAATACATTGTTGTTTATAGCTGGACCAGTAAATGAGTCCCATTTAATTTCAGGAAGGTTGAAATCAATGTGTTTGATCTTGTGATCATATGGAAGAGAGGATGCGCGTTCTGTAGCTTCAGTTAGTTGTATTTAGTAGTCGTGAAAGGTGTCAGATGCTCCTGAAACACATTCACTCAGTTCTGTAAAATTCTTATTGTGTTCGGTGGCATAGGGAGGGAGATTCATATACCTTGTTGTGAACAATAATATGAATGGGCTAAGGAAGTTTATAGGGCAACCTCCTTCTTTTGTTACTTTGGTCATATTGCAAATCTAAACAAATCAACACTTGTCGCTTCGTCTGGCATATTTTAAGGTCACCAGTACTCAGTCGCGATTATCAAAGGTTGTTTGAATGTGACTTTTATTCATTTTGTTACCGCAGTTTCACAATGGATAAGATTGACATTTATGAAATACAAGTACAATTTGGGGGAGTCGTAACGGACTAAGTTTTGGAATTGGTCAAACAGTGTCAGTGATAGCTCATTGTGGCTTCAGTCATCATATCTTAACGGAACTGTATTGCACATCAAATCTACACCTTGTTTATCTGCAGTTGTAAAGTGACTGGAATATCCTAGCTCTAGTTGGACCATAGATTTGTCCCAGTTGTCAACCTTATTTCATGCTTGATTAAAAATGACCAATGAAAAGTGTTTAGAATGCGTATCTTTTGTAATTTGTCTAGCAAAATTTATTGTCATTTATTTTATGGTTGGTGTCGTCAGTTAGATTGTTCAATTAATTGAGAAGTTATTAATTACTGAAAACACAGTGAAATATAACCTCAAGAAACAGTGATGTAGTGGTTTGTTAGTTTGAAAAATTGACTAGTCACTTGGTTCAGGTGTTATTGCTTGCCATCCGTTTCTTCTAATCAATATTTAGAACTGATCAAGATGAAAGAGGGAAAAGAATAATTTATTTACCGTCATTTCTGAAACACTAGACAATTTGTACATAATTTAAGTGAACATTTACTATATGCTCACGAAAGGTCTTAAGTAATATTTACAGGATAGATAAGTTTTTTTTCTTAAGGGCAGTGCATTCATTGAAACAAATTTCGAGACTATTTTTAATTAGATATTTTTTTATGTATACCCCTTTTCAGTCATCCACGTAATCATCAATTAATGTTGGATGAAATAATAAAGTTGATAGAAGAATTGTTACAAAGTATAGAATAAAAAATATCCTGTCTAATACAATACCAACTATTTTCCACTGTTCAGTAATTCTTTCTTTCAAGTCACGTTCCTTCAATTCAGCTTGTAATTGTCTTGCTGCCTTTGATATGTAATTAATATCCTTTTGAATACGCTTTAATGATTGACGGTTTTTTTGACTTAGCCCTGACATTGTACCAAGGTTAAATGGATAATAATTTTGTAAACGGGAAATAGATGAAGGTAGGAGTTTATTTCTCTTATTCTTTTTCAGGGCCTTTTCCTTGGTTTTATATGTAGATTGATTCCAATAAAGAGATTTTGAAAATTCATCTATCATTTTATCACCATCAAATTTTTGTTTAAATGGAATTGATGTTTTAGTAAAGTGTTCTATACAATGGTTACGATGGTGATGATATTGTGAATGTTGTTCAATGTTCCGATGGTTCAAGAGACTTGTATTCTCAACATCACTTTCATTTAATTGACAAGTTATAATTTTATTGTCTTGTGAACAAATATTTATTGGTAATGAATAAGGTGAATCTGATGCGTCAGTATTAGATGATACGCTATACTGACGTCTGTTCTGACCAAGAAATACATCATTGGGGTTAAGATGACATATAGGCGAACATATTCCCTTTGAGCGACAGCATACACAGTTATTGCTTAATTTTGAACATTCTGAGCATTTCATAGTTTTATGATCAATATTTTCAGTGATGATAAATGGTTGGTTCAAACTAGGATTATAGTTATCAATTGACAGATTATTTTCAGTATGAAGTTCGAATGATTTTGAGACATTTAACTGAACTGGATAAAATGCACACTTATCATTATAACTGAAATAATTTTGTTGAGTTATTTTCTTACAGGGACATTCATGAGCTGATAATGATGGTGATGATTGAGACACTGAATAATTCAATTGGTTTGATGAAATACTTTGAGATAAATCGTTTAAACTATGATTAACTTGAATATTTGAATGATTTATTCTTTTGGGGTAAGTATTCATAGAAGGTGACTTCTGAAATGATTTTTCTCTTGATTCAGATAGGCAAGAGCTTATTTTTAAGTTCATTATCTCTTCGGATAATTCAAGTGCATCAATATTAATGAAAAGTATCCAACCGATGAAAGCGGTGAACTATATAAAGAAAACAATATCAATAATGAACTGTAAGCATCAAGCTAAATAACTCACATTACATGATCTTGAATCATAAAATTTATAGAACTTATGCTACTAAACGATTGAAGTAGCTGTAAACTGTTCATACTAAACATGTGTAATTCCTAGTCAAAACTAGATGGCCTAAATATCAAATACCCATTTTCATCTTCTAGACCCGATTTCATCAGGCAATTATTTGGAGTGAATCAGGTCAGATAGGTATATTTTTCAGATTACCTCATTTCCAGTGAGCTTGACATAGAGACCAGTAACATGTCCGTCCCAGTAGCAAATAACTTTCTCAAACACTGAAATGGAAGATTCAGTGAACTCATTCATATTATCTATTCTCAACTTTAGTTCCTATAGTAGTTTTATGAAGACGAACTGACATCTTAACCATCTTTTAGATGATTTTCGTTCTACTAACTTCTTATTAAAACTGGGATGTTTGGACTCATTTAGTACAAAACCTTGACTGCTTATAATCTCTCACTAAAGAATGCAGTGGATCACCATGTGAAGTCAATAACATGAATTGGCTACCTGGTGGTAGCCAATGCAGTTTTTTGAGTCGTAAACGCTTGAAGTTGTTCGAAGTCAGTCTATTCAATTCACTAAGCTAAGTTATAAGAAGCTGTGGTGCACTGTATTTTCAGATTATGCGTTAGGATTTAGTTGGCGGGAATCTCTGAACTTGCATCGCATGCCTGTTAGCACTCATCAGCCAAATATGGGAAAAGAGATTCTTCCAAGGGTGATTTGAATCAACTCTACTTACCGCAGTAGTCAATCTCTTAATTGGAAGATAATTAAGCCAATCATTCTATCCTTTAGTTGTTGAGTCACTTGGTTTAGTGTTCATACTACTTCCACATTACTTGAAACGTTTATATCCAAAGTTAGTAAGTTTCTTTAAGCTATAACTTGTCAAAATCTCAGTAGGCCATTTTTGTCACTGATACACTTCTTGGTGATTTCAGTACACATATCTTGGCTAGACAACTTCCATCGTATTTTCTGAAGTAAGCCAGTTAACCAGAGCAAATAAATCTGTCCTAGATAAATATAGCTTACCATCAAGCTATCCTCCACCTCTTGAATTTTGTCAGAAGCAACGCTGAAGAAGAAACTGCTTTGTATCTCTTAGTTTCACATCACTTCAAAATGTCATCGATCTGAACTACAGACTTCATCTTATATAGTCTTAGGTTGCCATTGAAGTAATCTAAATATAAAGAACATGCTTTCTGCACTTTGAAAGGCCATATTGCTTCCTGAAGCTAAAGTCATGCTTTCACTACCATAAAATTTTTTATGAGTTAGTAAACTGTGCAGTTATCACATGGGACGATTAACTATCAGCTCATAGTCAAGATGTATTTGTTGTTTTTAGCCAGTTATAGAAAAATGAAATAAAGATTTGCCATCATTAGTTAGTTATACTATAAGATTTTCTGTTGAATGATTACCATCTTGAAAGTGAGTCGGTAGAATAGTCGCTGGCAATCCCTGTATGCCAGCAAATATACTTTATGCATAAGATCATTGACTGTAAGTTGACATTGAAAACAAAGCATTGAAATATATAATAATAAGGATAATTAAGGCTTGAAAACTCAGTCAGCTTAGATGGATTTGTATATGAGCATACTTGAATTAGAGAGATTTATGAAAAGGCAATTAAGTCGTCATAATGCTTAAAGTCATTTGTAAAACAAACTGACAAATTAGTAAAGTTATTAATGACATCTATGAGAACAGAGGAAACATTAGTAGTTCGAAGAAGACGAGAAGAGGTTAGGAAAGTTGGGTTATGTTAACCTTAATCCTCAAGTAGAGTTGAGAAAGTTTTGAGCAAATTTCATTTATTGGAGAAAAAAACATTCTGACAACTGATTATTTACAGATGTTAGTCGGAATCAATTTTATGGTAGTCACTTAAAAAAAAATAAAAGTTTTGTCAAAGTTCTTCGCAAATTTTTTTTCCTACAGATCTTTGACGGGACGACTGTTACTATCATTTCCGTAATTCATTTCCTCAGTTGGTTTTTCACACTAGGTGGTATCCTGTTTCTTATTTGTTATTATGACCTTGTAATGAAATAAACTCTAATTTTATCACATGATAGTCTTTTATCTGACTAAAATCTATCCAGAGTAGTTGCTCGTATTTTACGAAAGACAGTTCAGCTTATTGGTCAGTAATTTGTTGAATAATTTCTGATTCACAATATAAGTAATTGACAACCAATAAGATTTTTTTGCTAAAAGATGAATTATGTTTGAAAGTTAATTGGTAGGTAGTAAAGTCTTAAATAACATATTTTATATCCGGTCACACTTACTTTGAACTGTATTCGTTAACAAGTCACACAATCTCACGATCACTTAATTTATTCTAGGCTATTCATAATTTATGTCATCAAGAGCAAACTATTATTGTGTTCCTTTACAATCATTGACTTGTTTAGTTGAAATAGGTACTTTTCTAATCAGATAACATGAATGTTATTCATACAGGGAAAAAGACAACTTCTAAGACCTTATTATTCTCGCTTACATCATAAGTAAGAAGGACATTAGATTTTGTAACTTATTAATAATAATAATATACAGAAACTTAATTGCCTATTTCAGTAGTTGCTAAGGCCACCTTTGAAGTCAATTGATTGGTTAATAGACCACAATAATAAGATATAGCTGGGTGAAAAGCCTTCACGATGGTTAAATTACTGATGAACTGAATTTGACTAGTGAATGTCTCCAAAATTTAAGAGCAAATAGTCATTCAGCAAACGATAACCTTACATGAGTATTTGAAATGCCCTTCAAATTTCCTAAACCTTCGAAATGTCAAATAAATATGTGGTACGTTCATTATTTTCCCTACGGGTACAAATTTCTTTTCCGCAGGTGACTTAACAACCTTTCAGTGGCAATAATCTAGGATAAAAATGAGTACACTTTCCTTTTTTATACTAATTTAATCAAGTGAAACAGTCTTTGAACTAAATGAGAATTAATCTATCTTATTGATAAGATTTCTTCTCCTCTTTCATGTATGAGTAGGATAATTAGTTCGCGCATAAAATAGTTACACCCATTTCCTGTACTATTAGTAATTTTAAACAAATATAAGTTTTTCTCATTACTTCAATGAGAAAAAACCTCATTTGATACAGTTTTTACAATATCTACATGGTTTAAATGGGAGTATTGTAACAATATAAGAATACTGTATAGTCAATAATTGTTTCAGTAACTGATTTAGCATGCTGTATGAATACTCAATCACTATCATCACTTATTTCACAGAGAAAAGAAGTCAGCATTTGAATAGGATCTTAGAAGTTTACAACGTCATGAATTGCCTCATGTATTCATTTTAACATTTTGACTGATAAGTTTACATGCTTTATTTTCATGTTCTGCGTACAAAATGACAATGTGATCCCCTTCAGCTAGATAAAGTGATATATTCACTTCCGAATAGATTTATATGTTGCTGTTATGCACAGCCTAGATTCCTAATTACAGTGAGTTGGTTGGAGGCAGTTAATAGGAAGATCTAGATCTAGGTTTTATGCTTGTTTTCACTTATCAGCAAAGCATATGTGTAACCTTGGGGAGACTGATAACTTCTGTGAAATTCGAACCCGCGTCACCCCGTGTCGCAGTCAACGACGTTACCTACAGGGAGTCAGCCAAGGCCTGGATTACATACATCGATTGGTCACTAGAGGACAACCAATCTCATGTTTTATAGTTCTAAGTACTGACCGAATTCTGTCGATCATTTTGCAATGTAGCTACCAAGCTAGGAGGATCATTACTGCATTGGACTCTGATGGACGTTAGTTGGTTAGACAACTATTATTATGTTGTACCACGGATTTTTTGTGTCTACATTTAATGAAAAGTTATTTCTTCTTATTTTATTGGATTTCAACCGGTGTCGCACGAATGATGTTATATACGACTGATAAACGTCAGCTAACTGAAAAGTTGTCTCAGTTTTTGAAAGATAAGAAGAAGACTGATATTATCTTAAAACGCAGTTAATATTGTGCGCTGTTATGTCTGTAAATGAATCAATGTTACACCATTTCGATTTGAGAAAAAAATTACCAGAAATTACTTGGGTTCTTGCTGATTTCAAACCAAATGAATTTAGTTCCATACTGTTGTTGAAGTATACTTATTACTGTTTTTCGAATCCATACTACTAATACATTTTCGAAATATAAATATATTTCCCACTTAAAGTGAGTATTTATACAAAGGGCGTAATGAAAGAAGTAAAGCCACTGGTGTAAGGTGACTGAGACGGAGTAGTTGGATCTCAGACCTCAGTCGATTGAGTGCCAAGTTAGTAATGCCCAAGAAACTGTCTCAAATATTGCCCTGATTCAGGTTTTCGTCACAACTTTATTCATCGTGTTGTTATATAAAGAACAGTCTGCCAGGCAAGCCTACCCAAGATGTTAAGCTCATCAATTAGTTTCTTTACTAAGTGAATCTTTCAATATAACATAAGCTGTTAAAATTATGACACCTTAATTTTATATCCATCCAAAAACCTAACTAAACAAGGAGAATTTCCAAAATTACTGCGATGGAATGAGGCCCTTTTATGGACATTATGACTAGACTTTATGAATGCAAAACATTAATAAATATTTGCACAAAACAACCATCACTTTTGACACAAACATGCTTGAATCCCTTTGTTTCCGTTTCTATCTTGGCCACATTTCATACCATCCCATTCGGTTAGAAGTAAGTAAGCCAGATCATTTGATCTTTTTTAACGTGGTCAACTATTTTACATAGCTCGTTCCTTTTTGACTTTATAAAATATGGAAACGGATGTTAAAGGAAAACATACATTTTTAATTTTCCATTTAAACATATCATTAACGAAATGCCTTAACTATGATGTAGTGGATTATTCAAGATGACTATTCTTAACTTAATTATATACAATTATATATATATATATATATATATATATATATATATATATATAATGACTACCATCAAGAGGTGTATAAGGATATTTTTGTAGTTATGTAGTTATTATGTGTCGAGTCATTTATAATTGTTCAATTGCCGTATTCCAACTATAGATCAAGTGTGTTTAAGCTGCACAGTATTCAGTAAATGGTTTCTACCCCAAATGTGAACACATATAGCTGATATAGGTTGGCTCAGACTTTATGAAATCAGTATTTCTAGGTAGAAACTTTAAAACTATCTGAGAAAGTGGAATAATCGAATCCAAACTTGTTACTGATAAGCTTCCACAAGTTCCAAAACTGCATTTAGGGCTTCCTGCCAGTTGAATCCTGATGTTTAAGGCAAAAATCCAGTGATCAGATGAAAAATTTGATGATTAAATTTTCAAAGATCCTTAGATATTGATATTTACGTAAGTTAGCCACTCATAGCAATTTCGTGTAAATTCTTTTCTATTATGCTGCGAATTATGCTCCACTGCTAGCCACTTCTTGTCCTTTGTATCAAAATGGAATCACTTAGTAGGTTCATACAACCACACAGGAACCTATATGCCAGCAAAGGTCAATCGGTTCGATCCAAACAGATCAACAACGGGAGATAAGAAGTACTTACAACAAACTTAATCCACCTTGATCAAATTTATGAGGCTGTTAACTTTAATTTCTGGATCATTGTTAAAGTCGAAGTCAGAACAATGCAACTTCAGTTTAATGTAAATTGAACAGATAAATAGTATGTGGAAAAGCGTTCTGTTATTGAATTATATCTTTTAAAGTACTTTCGTCCTTGACGTTTCTCTATACAAATAATTTAGGGAAATATGGGAGGAGGAATTTTCTATGATCAATTAAAATTTATCACCTGCATTACTTGTCCAAAATTTCAGAGTGTTAAGCATGCAACCTTTAACATCTAATCATTTCATCTTTTCGTGTATTTTCTCCCTTTATTGAACTTGAATTATGCAGTGAGAACACCCTTTGAAGAACAAGATGAGTTCAATTTTATTTCTCTATCCCCATATCCATACTTATTTACCATCCATATTCATATTAACTATCGTTTTATTATTATTGTATTTGTTATTATTACAAAAATTTAATCTCACCCACTTGTCATTTTAAGTATGTTTGGGAGACCAAAACATGATCTTTCTGAGTTTCATTATGTAGGACACAGCTTGTTCAGCAGAATGTTGGGATTGTGTACTGAATACAGGAAATAACATACACGCACTCTGACCGTCTTACATTTTTCGTTGACAAATAATCATGAGAAATGTGAACTTGTAATAAATAATGCTAATTACTCAGTCTGAACGACAAACCACCTAACCAATGGCCTGCATACACTATATATTTGATGTACTATTTCACTATATATTTTGGTGTTAATAAAAACTTTGAATATTCTGCTAAAGAGGCTGAGATTTAAACAGCAAAGCTTTTAGAAGAATCTTGTTTTGATCTTCTAAAAACGCTAAGATTAAATTAAAATATAATGTTATAAAGATTCAGTGAAACTGAGCACTCGAGTTTTTCCAGGACAATCGTAACAACTATAAACTTGGTGTTTATAACATATCATCCCGTTCATACGATATTTTCACATAATTACATGGTCACTTCTACTTATTTCCAATCTTATCTCCTCATTCATAAACATTCCTTGTCTTACCTCATATAACATATATCTAGTTTAACTGAACCCCCTTATGTTCCAAGTTGTAGTTTTTTCCTGATCTTTGAAACAGTAGTCGGTATTGATACTAGGGTACGATTGAAGGTGAAATGAAAAATCAAGCCGCGTCAAGATTTACACCGGCAATCCATAGGTTTCTGGCCCGGTGCCATACCACCATCACCTAGTGTCAACACTTGTCTGTCAAACCACGGCTGTCTCAGATAGTCAAAATGGTAATTAATCGGTGTCTTAAACTCTCCATATGAGGAGCGTTAATATTTTTAATAGTGATTATTTACTTATTCATTCAAGGTGTATGTAGCTGGCGAAAATCCTATTCAGTCAAATGAAGTCACTTTATCCTGCGAATTGCGTTCACAGTAGGTTATTAAAATTTAACAGCTTGCTGGACATGAGCATTGAAAATATGTTTCTTTAATGAGTGGTAAAAAGCCAGCTGAAACACATTACTGAATTCGAAATAAAAATAGCCACCAGAGTTGCAAAATAAATCGCAAAACAAATTCGTGATTTATAATGACATATGGCAAATTAAACAATGTTATGGATTGAATTCCTAATGCACTTTCTCTGGTAAGAGAAAATTTATGCATGAGCATTCACTTGATAACGATAAACAGTTTACAGATTGCAAGGTGTATAAAATTATGGTATTACGCTTCAACCTGTTCTATGCATACTTCACAATGTCTTCTTTTAATAAAATTCCTGAGATAATAAACTAGTTATTTTTTGAAATATGTTTTTGTTTAAATCGAACAAAAATAAATATCTTACTTTTCTTAACCATTTTGGCGGTTGTTCAGTTTCAGCTGTTCGAAATGCAAATTGACGGTTATACAACACAAAACATTGAGATTGTGATGACACCCATATTGAAGCAGTAATATGCACCTAAACGAGAAGCATAAAAAAGTCTTATAAGAATCGTTTCTTTTTTTTCTACAGAGAATATTTTAAAGCACAAAAAAGATTCTTCCAGTCAGTTATTACGATATGATAAGTCTTGGAAAATTGTTTACAGAAACCGGTAGAATTTTTACTGTTGAATCTATTTGATAATGACGTTGCAGTTTTGTGTAACATTTTGTCAAAGCATGCGCAATAACGACAGTGAATAAAAAATTTTGAAACTTAATCCTGCTATCTTTGAGTTTATTTATAGAAAGTGTTTGGTGTTTAGAGGAAATGTGATGAGAAGCACTTTTGAAAATTGATTAAGTCATCTCTGTCTCTCATGCAAATAAGGTATAAATGTTGATGTATATTTATTACTATAAAATGTTTAACCGAAGGACTTGACTTCACAGTATGTAGGTCAGACTAACCAATCACGGAAAGTCAGGTTAGCAGAACCCAGAAACCTATCTAAGTCTAGATTGATAGCCGTACTAAGATGAAGAATCTAGAAAAGAATTGTCATAGCTATGCTTGTGGCAACACACAGGTACACAAGACGGTTGGACATAGTGACACTATATGTCACGTCATATATATATATATATATATATATATATATATATATATATATATAATGTTAATGAGATTGCTAATGAGGAATATGATAATCATGACCAGTGTCGTTAATTGGAGACAACAGTTGATCTCAGAACCTCTGTTCTTCTGTTCAATGCCTAACACGTTTAATGGAAGCGATTCAACACCAACTGTAGATATTCGGGAAATCCTACTACCAATTAAGTCAAAGAAAAAACAGGCAGAACTTTCAAAAATCAAAACAGTAAGTTATGCGAATACCTTGATATGAATATGAGAATAAATTGTTCTAGGAATATCATCTAGTAAACAGTACTGTGTTGCTGTGTGTCATACCAAATAGACTTATTTAATATGAAATCACATTCTAAAGTAGTACTCAAATCTGAAACTTACGTTAAAGCTATTTCCAGTGCTCTATCGGAAACGAATGCAATAATTCACATAGTAAGAGGAACAGCTAATGAATATGCTTTTTAGTAGAAGGCTATTATAATAAGTGTGATATTGTGTATGGAGTGAGTCGGAGTATCTGTGTATATTTTGATGGCAATGCGTGTTCCAGAAATACACTGAGCTGTCAGTATCACTTGAAGTACAGCCTTTCAATAGTGTATCAGCATTTCTCACTGATGATTGGTGATATGAGTGGGTTCTTGATACAGAACGTCCTGCTAAGTGCAACCGAGAACAAAGGCCTCCAGATCGCTTGCCACGAGCTCTGAAAACTGAACTACGAGACCATGTCACTGGCCGGTTATTGTTACGACTTCAGTCGTCACCGCGTATCAGTCATACCAGTTTATCACACCACAGCTACCTCAGATTGTTATAAAATCAAAAATTTAAGATTGATGATACTTCTGATTAAAGATATATGAATCGTTATGTAGTAATGCAAGATCTTATGGCAATACAGCTTGTTTGTCTAAATTATTGAAATCGTAGATTTTAAAAGTCAAAAACTGCATTAGCTGTTTCCACGTTTTCTACAGAATTAAATTTTCTTAGTTTTATTTCTGAAAAATATTTTATTTCTTAGGTAATCTAGAAAACCGTTCCTAATTACTTACTTATTAAATTGGCTATCTACGCATTTCTAATTCTACTTGTACTAATTAAAACGAAACAGATGTCCGACATCTTATTTTCAATGTTCCAGCAACTGATATTACTGTGATGATAATTATTTTCACACTGATTTAAATATTATGCGAAGTTGAAAAGTACCTGTACTGTCCTTCTTCTGATGAAATAACTTACCGTCATTTATTGAAGATTCAAGTTGGTAGATTAATCTGAAGAATATTGCTTCCTATATATATATATATATATATATATATATATATATATATATATATATATATATATATATATAAGGCGATATTTATCTCCTGTTAGTCATCTTTATCGTATTACTGATAAATTCCTAGAAGGCATCTGGCTAAGGCTGTCTTGTTCACTGAAAATAACATAACATAATTTAATGTGAGTTATAAGATAAGATGTGATGCCTTAAAATGGCTTCGACAGTTGTATTTTGAAGAAGGATTTTTGATAGGTATGACTTATTATCAACTTCATACTTATGGATTCTCATTAGACAGGCGCATCCACAGCTTAGGCAGAAATGATGGTGTCTCCAGGATTTGAGTTTGTGTCACCCGATGTTGCAGTCAAAGACCTTACCGTTGAGCTATTTATTTTATAGTACATTGATCACTTGTAATTACTAGACGATAATTGGTGAAATAGCTGAAAATCAGCCACAAATACGCAGATTAATTCATTCTTTGACGTCTTCTTAAGCTTGGATATTTTGAATAACCTTCATTTTAAAATCTTTTATCCTCCTACCTTGGTATCAATCGTTTTCTACTCACTTGCTCTTTATATGCTGCTGTGAAATATGTCACAGTTGACCATAGCACCGGTGCGCTGGGTTCTAAGTTGATTTTGTCCGTGTCTGTCTGTCAGACTGGACGATTCGCTAAATACAGGTTGTAAGGTTGTTAACCATTTGTTCTCCTCTCTTTTAAGCTCCTTAGTGTTTAGAAAAACATGTTTATCTCTCTGAAACAATAAATCTGATGGTAGTCCTATAGTAAATGGCTTGAAAATATATTTGTATTCCAACCTTTACCATAAGCAAACCTTTGATTACTTCAATTAAAAACATTGGACTGAATCAATATGTCCTTCAAGTTAAACCGGATTGTGATAAAATGTGTGAAGAACATTTCCGAAGACATTCATAGCAGAAAAGTATGTTCTATGGTCGACTAACGCTAGATAAAAAGACAGAATTTGTGAATGTTTTTGTTGCCGGTGCATTTATCAGTACAATTACTGTACAATACAGTGAAGCTTGTTCCTTATGGAATTGCTGAGCATCTGTCATAGTTTAGCAAAGAGTAGATAAAGGCATTAAGAATGACAGTACTTATATATTGAGTGAACATAAGCAAGGCTTTTATAATTATTTATCATATATCATCTAATATTCTGCTTGTTTTAAGCATTAGTCTACTATACATGATGAAAGTCATAACAATACATCATTGAAAGTCATAGCTTTTTGAGCAGAAGGAACTTGTTCAGTTTATATATTTGATTTCATTAATGAAAGAATTTAATTTTTTACTTGAACTTTTAATTTTAATTTAATCAGTTAAAATGATTCACAAGTAAGGTTTTTCTCTGCTCACTTCATATAGTTTGTTTTCTTAAATTTTTGTTGTCTTTAAAAAAATAGTTATTTGTTGTTAACAGGTAGTCAGTTACCTAGATCCTTTCCTTTATTTGTGGATTAATGTACACTTAGTTAAAAACTTGTTTCAGTTTGTTTTACATTTCTATTAGTTCTGTGCATTCCCTTGGATCTTGGTTCTTCCAGTTAACCACTTTGTGAATAATCTTAAATTCCTAAGATCCTCGTTAGCTTTTACGATTACATTTACAAATAACTCAGCATAGTCATTTGATACCAGTATGGTATTTTGACGATATGAATTAGAGGATAACAATAAAAATGATAATAACAAGAACAGAATCTCATAAGAACATGCAAGATGGCCAAATATACCCTAAAGGGTGCCTTTAAAATTATTTCAAGAGCCAGAAACAAAAGCAAAACAATGATTTCAATGGATTCTACTTTCTTGTTTACTAACATTCCTCTTCTAGAAACAAAGGACTTAATTTATGTTTCACTGGTAGACAACAACACGGAGGAAGGTATGTCACTTGAAACCCTACGAGAATTGCTTCTTTGTTGTATGATAAATTTACAGTTTTGATTAAACAAGGAAATTCACTGTCAGATAGATGACACAGCAGGGAGTTCACCATTAAGTCCTATTCTACCTGAAATGTTTGTGACAAAACGGAGACGAGGACCACTGTGTAGTATGGTAGATAAACTATCCTTTTTTTACGGATACATGGATATTGCTTTCATTCTGTTGAAAAATGATTCGAGTGCTGATGTCCTTCTTGATACATACAACAGTGTTTATCCAGAAATCCAGTTCATCCGCGAAACAGAGAGAGATAGGCATGTGTTATTTCTTGATGCTTTGTTATCAGGAACAATAAATGGCAGTATGAGACGCAGTATATTCCCTAAGAATTTATGGATGGGTCAGCATACATAAGCAACCATCTGTCCCTCTTGCATGAAAAAAATTTAATCCGTACACTGAAGGTTAGAGTTAGTAAGATTCAGATATTTGACACTTTGAACGACTAGGTAAGAATAATATAGCACTATCTCAATGAGAATTGTTCGTATGGATGTTAACATTTAAAAAGATTGAGAAAAATGCCTACGTATGGTATCGAGGAAACAGTTATATCTAACTCTAGCATTCAAAGGAGATGGATCTGCAGAAACTCTTATACTGAAACCCACAATTATTCATTTTTTACGATCAGAACGAATTCGCATATAAGAATTTTTCGATTTTATTGGTTGAAATTCAATAGCCCATAGCTTTTGAACATCTTTTCTTGCATTAAAATTAAATGCAGCTTAAATTTAATTGCACAAATACAAATTGCTAGATTATCATCAAAAATTATTCATTTGTTATCAGTGAAACCTTTTTGAATAATAATGAAAGGTTGTGGCTTTTTGTAGCAGCTAGAATGATATGTCTCCCTATGGTTAACGCGAGTTGCTAAGAAATACAAAAACACCTTGATTCTGATTTCATTACATAGACTTAATGGTGACATGCTTACTACAGAATACAAAATTATTTATGTAAACATAAAAGTCAGTTACTGGTAAGGTATACATAGAAGTCTGGAACCAGTGTTCATCCGTCAATTTTTGCAATTTATTAATAATTTTTCAAATGTATTCAATTTTACATTCAGTGTTATGTTAAATATTTGAATTGTAAAAAATTGAAATTTTAAAACAAATACTTTTCAGAGAAAAAATGATATAAACTCCAAGAAATTTTTTTCAGCCTAGGTAACAGAAATAATTCTTGATATAATTTAGTACTTGGATAACCTTATAACCAAGTGTAGTTAATCTGTAAATGTGACAGATTGTAAAAAGAAGCATTAACAGTCTGCCTCAAACTAATGAAGAACAGAATTTCTGTTTTCTGGTTATATGAGGTGAAGAAATAATCATTCGTAGACGACGACTTTTTCAAGATGTACCATCTGTCCTTCATTTAACTAGGTATGCCAATTGTAGAATGTTAACATAAAAAATAAGAATAAATAATTTACTCACCAAGTAATGGGAAGTTACTAGCAGCTGCTGGTGTTGTATCTTCTAGCAGAAGGTGAAGCAGTAGAAATGCAACAAATACATTCATTGCTGTGTAAAAATATAAAATAATAAAGATAAATCACAGTATACTAATAAATGTAGTCAAATGTAGTGGTAGTAAAACAAATACTTTGTGTTTGTATTAGTGAATTACAGGGAAATTATAAAGTTTGATTTTGAAAATGTTAGTAGAAATAAAGTAAATCAGTGTGAACTTGTATTTATAAGGGCCACCAACGAATTTATTTATTTTGTACTGCTTTTTTCATTTAATAAGGTATACAAAAGTTGTCAGTTGTGATATATATTTCCTTTTGTTGTTGTGACAGCCAGGTGAAATTACTTCATGCATCTTGTTTCCTTGATAAGTTTAAACAATGTGACCAAAATATTATTTACAAAACAAAGTGGCTGGAATTTGCTATAGTTAATTTGGTAGCTATTTACAGAGTCCAGAATGTGCGTTTCGTCCAATTCAGGACTCGTCAGCTGGATGAACACACATCCCAGTAAGTGGTGTTGTTCACACTGAGACTTGAAACCAGTAGTCATGGCTTTCGAAACTAAATCCATCATAACTGATATTCCAGTAGTTTCGAGTCATGCGCATGGAAGCCCATCTGCCAGCAGAGGTGGAATAATTCAATATAGTTTAATAACGGAAAATTGCAAGTCTTAATAAACGTAATTTTACTGCATAGTCTTTATTCAGTGGTATATATTTTCCCAGCAAAATCGAAATAAATAGATACATAAAATAACCTAATAATGCTGTACATGTCGTATTAAGTTTGGTTAAAAACTGAAGTATTCAAGCCGAAATATTCAGAATAAAGAATAAATGACTCTGATTAAAGATTGAAGTTACTCTGTTTTTATGATGAAGGGTTACTGATTTCCTTCGACGAGTAATAAAGATTAGAAATCTTATATGACTGCTCGGTGTGAAAATCCTTGGAAATGTTAAGAAATTTCTACTGTCATCTTTTAGGTGAATATCGTAAGTGAATGAAAGAGGAGAATTTTAAAACAATTATAGTAATGCAGTAAGTGAAAAATACATAAAGATAGTAACTTAATAATACAGAAGCTAAACTTGAGTACCGTTGTATAGTATAGTCTGATAATGAAAAGTACGAACAGATGTTCTCACAAACACTACCACATCAAAAGAACAATAGTGACGGTTTTTTTACAAACAAACAAACCGAGTCTGATTCTTGTCATTGAGCTGCATTCTACGAAGCAAATTAGGAGTGTTTTTTGTCTACTGGAAGTTCTAAAGGCCTTGGCTATCTCTATTTAATGTCCGTAATAAACTTTATGGTTGATCGCGGCGCTAGTGAATGACTTCAAAACCATAAGACTCAGTTTTTAGGTATACTCTGTGACTTCAGTGGAAATTTGTTTTTCTGCCTTCCCATGTACACGTGAATTAGTAGAAATTTACATACTTCTCAAACTACTTGTTGTCCATTATCAAGAGAATGGAATTTCAGGTAATACGGGACATCGATCAAAGAAACAACGACTGCAGAAGAATAACCTGGTACCGTTTTATTTTACCATTTTCTTATCACCTGCTTGCAACCTAAATATCTTTAAATGTCATATTACAAAGGAATTAGAACATTCGTTTTAGCAACCACGTGTTATTGTTCAGCAGGTTATGGTTAAATAGAAAAGTTAACAAGACATGCTCAGAGGTTTCAGTTATATATGCGTTTCAATAGAGAGTTTGAGAAAAGAATATGAACAGTAATAAAAGATAACATGTGAAAATGAAAAAGTCGGTTGTTTAATGATAAAGGATGGACATATTACGTAATAGTAAAATGAGTTGAACTCATTCTGTAGAATGATCATCAAAACTATTTAGGAAGAGAAAAAACATTCAACTGAAAAATGATGTCATCGAATATTAGGCTAACAGGGCAAAGAAAGACTTATCTTCTTTTCTTTTTGGATATCCAATTCTGATTTCAATGGTTTAATCGCGATGGCCTTAGCAAAGCTGAGAAGAATTAAATTACAGTGTATATCGATTACCCTGAAGGATATGGGACGGTTTGATGGTTAATTTGTATCCATTGGAAAAGTATTCTGCGTATTTTTCCCAACAATGCAATCCTACACTGCAATAAATTTTGTACTTTTGAGAATGAAACTTCTTAAGAGATTTACCAGAATCATCCATGATGAACCTAAAATCTTCCATCTTTATTTTTTAAACATTAATTTAGTGCCAGTAAATGAATTCAAAATTTTAGAAACGATTGACTGATATCTATTTTTGAAGCTTAGAGACAATTTCACTTTCGTGAAAATTATTCTGGCATCAAAAGCAGTTCGTCCGCCAAATAATTTGATGCTAAGTTAAACAAACACCTTGTTGTCGTTTTAAAACGATGTACAGTTCAAATAATTAAGTCTGAATACCTCAATCTAGGTATACTTTTAACATCATGTTAGATATGTTGTGCATTGATATCATGGGTGTATTAAATATCCGTTACAAAACCTAAATTTAAGAAGTTGAAGCTTACAGTTAAGCAGAATATGATTATTTGCAATTCTTGGACGAGAAGTTGAAATGAATCAGTGATATACTCAGTTGATAAAACCCAAATATAATATGAGCACAAATATTGCAGAAAGCTTTTACATATCTATTCATTAAACTAAATAATACTTTACGAATGTCTTGATAGAAGTTGAGGTTCATTCATTAAATAAGTAATTTTTAATATAACCCCGTGTGTTTAAAAAAATTTGCCTAACAAATAAAAATACAATGAAAAGATCTCACTGAACTAGAATGAAAAATTTAGAATTTTTCACTATCTGATTTAAACGACTTTTTTAGATAATAATGAAAACACTTGCGTATAACAGTTTCATTTTTCTTCAAAAGTATTTAAATTTAAAATTAAAGCCAAAGAGCAGGAAAGTATAAACTGCTGAAAAAGGTTACACAAACAGTGCATTTATAGTGACATGATTTAAACAGAACAAAGTGAACACTGAAAAAGAAAATAAAGAACAAAAACTGAAAATTAAAAAGTCAAAAAAATAAAGCTAACAAAGTGAAGAATTTCCAAGAGTTAAAATCAGATAAAAACGATAGTTTGTTTGCAAAGCAGAATGTTGAGAAAGATGATGATAACTCTTTATTTCAAGAGATATTGGCGACTGCGGTCAATTAGGGTCATCGGTAATTTTCATATACAGTTTTGCATGTGTATATATATATATATACATATGTACCGGTAAACTAATAAACACAAGAAAATCAGGACTGTAAAAAATTGAACAAGTAGATAAGTGAACCAGAGATGATGAAAGGCAACTAGAAAAGATGGAGAAATACCAAGAAGCGGTTCACTCATTTTCCCCTTCAGTTATTCAGCGGAAAAGTTAGACAAATTCATTGTTTAATTTTCTTGTTGTCCTTTAAGAAGTTTGTCTCATTCTCGTCAGCTATGCTAATCTATTATGTTACCGTTTAACCCATTATACTTTTCAATTAACTCAATAAAAATAAACAAAACAGAAAAATCATATTCATTAACTGACCGGAGTGCGTTCGGATTTTGTTCCAAGTTTATTTATTTTAATAGAGTGGAAAAAAGTTCAACAACTGCTTGAATATTGGACATGTCTACATTAGCACAACATAATTTTATCATTTTGAAAGAAAACCTTTCCATTTTAATCATAAATAGTTGAGAATAGGTTAGAATAGAAAAAAATTACGTAAGTAATTGAGACTAAGCTTCATTTACTTAGCTAAATAAAAGATAAACTTATTTAATTTTGCTAGCGGGCACAGTATTTCCTTCGGTGTTTAATTTTTAATGGGATTTTTGAAAATATCCCCAGTATTCTTCTCAAATAAATTTGAGACATTTGCATCTGAAATCCTTCGATGTATGATGGTTTGTAAATCTTATGTTAACGGAAACAAGTAATTATTGTTTCAGTCAGTTCCTAGTCAGTTTCCACCATCACAAGTGATATTTTCAAAGTCAGTAAAGAGAAATTATGCCAGACGTCAACGTTTTGGGTGACTGGAAAGAATATCAGATACCAGTTAGCCCCCTAAAGACTGGAAAGTGTAAATGAGATAGCTACTTTTTCGTTTACTACTTTTGTTACCTAAGATAACCATAGTTTGGGAGACGTACTGAAAATCTTTGGTTCTTTATTTTCACTGATGTAATAGCAGTAATAAGCAAACTGAAAAAGGAAAAAATCTTACATGATTAACAGAAGTGGTGTACACACTGGATACGGACAAAATGCGGTAATGTGAATTATAGTCAAATAAATTGTTTGTAGAAGAGTTACATAACAGAGATTTAAGCATAATTAGGGTTTACCATAAGTGAAAATCCCATCCTAAACGGTGAAAGAGATTGGACAAGTCACTTTGTTACAGGAAATATTCGTATGGTAAACAATACAGACACTCTGTATCAGGTGATGGCGAGATTAATGTAGTTAGATACTTAAAGTTTAAGGTGAAAAAACATCTGAAACTACTCAGGTTGAAGAATATTCTTCCAAAGGATCGATCTTCAGTAATTTAAAAATGTTATTCTGGTTATCAGTTCCTTTCTTAAGTTTGATCGAGTTCTCATGATTGGTTTCTTACTTCTGAATATTTATAGTGTTCATTTATCTCTTACGGTTAATTTACTAGTAATAGAATAAGCTTTAATATTTATTGAGTCTGTAATCATGCCAGTGTATTGCCTACGGGTGATTTTTATACTTTAATAACATAGTTAAATATGAAGCACACCATTACATATTTGCACTATCATATCAAACACTTTATAATTCCATTTTATTGCTTGTAACCCCCCATCGTTGATTGGACCATACTGAATAGTCTCTATTGGTATATGGGCTTCTGCGTGGATGCCTCGATATTGCCAGTAGTTTTAGTTGGATAGTGATGATGGATAGTGGCTAGCAGTAGAATCCAGGCCGTGGGCTCCATCCTTTTCTGAACTCACCAAGTGTCCCGACCTCCTGGTGAGCGATGTTATTCTCACTAAAATTCGAACCCATTGCACAGAAAAAGACTATTGTGAATGAGTGACCTAGTTTGTAACACTTTGGAGTTTAAAGCGATCTGTTCTGGGCTTGAATCTTAGTGTGAACAATGTCAACCACTGGGGGGGGGGGTGAGTCTAAAAATAAGACAGATTGCACGTTTTAGATTCTGCTGCCAGCTACTGTTCAACTGTGCCATCTTATGATTTCATTCACAACATTAACAGAGTAGTGGTCAAAACTTATACAGTATCACATCTCTAAGTCTATTCAGATAAGATTGAGAAAGTGTAGTATTCTTAGCTGATATTCAGTGTTGACAGGAAAGGATTGTACTGCCTTCTTGAGTAATATTTGGTAAATCTGATAATACTGACTTGTTTGTTTTATAGTGTGTATGCTTGAGCATCAGAGCAATATTCAATATGATAATCTTTTCCCTGTTTTGTCCGCTAATTTGAGCATACAAAGCCATAAAAGTACTTAAGTGCTACCATGGATTTATTTCTATTTGACTTTGATGATATTCCATTTATGAGATGGAAACTGTACTCTAAGGTTCACCCGATAAATAATACTTTGTCAAGGGTCAATTGCAGCTTAATGTGATATCTTCTTATAGTCTTGTTGTCAACCTGTCTAACAATAGGTTGAAGATATTTTAAAAGTGTGAGAGAGTATTTTTTATGATTAGTTGGCATTTTAATAGATAAAACAAGTAAAAAAGAAGCAATTTGGGAAAATATATTCAAATGAATACTTTTGGTAGCCTTAAACTCAAGCAGGCTGCCAATATACCTTATCAGCCTATAAAAAACCTGGATGATGATTATTTCGACTTTTAAGGAGACACGTAACACGTTTCTGTTGATTTGCGAGCCTTAATTAGCTATTTTTACTGACATTCCGCATGGTTTTTAGTTAAAATGTAGAGAATAATGGCTTCACCGACGGATAATCAAGAGGACAGCTTGAATTATTTTAGTCACCAGTTCGAAAGAATAAATTTCAGCTGATTGAAGAAATAGTCAGTATTTATTTTACAAAAATGCTTCTTCATGCATAGATTCTTATAATTTGAAAGTGCTCACTTACCCAAAACAATTTTTGACGGTGAATGCGGTGGAAGCCAAAAGATAACAGATGTAAGTGACGATAGCAGAATACTTGGTATAATTAAGATATATGTATAGAAGGCTGATTTACGCTTGATCCACACATGAAATGTCATATCAGGATATTTTTCTGGACAGCAAGGATATGAGATTTCTGTGAATACAGCACTTGAATTTAATATATTCCACTCAGGATTAGTGATATAATTTAGCATCCGGAAGTTTCTTTCACCATCATAAAATGAAATATTTACTCGAAATCTAAAATTAAATTTTAATGATATATAGATATATATTCAGATAAATGATGGCCATTAATAAAAGAAATAGGCAAACTTAGTATGTAAGTACTATTTTTGTTATTCTGAAACTATCGAAAGAAACTCACCATTAGTTCGAGTGAAACATTTAAGTTGTGGATAACTATACTATCTTACATAAATTCCAATAAATGTGTATCAACATGCATGCGTTTTGGAGAAATGTAAGTTTCAAAGCCTATGCCGATTCAGAAGTCTTGTTACCTTAATTCGACTGATTTTTGTCATTCCTCTCCAGAAAATTGCTATCAAGTTTGGACAGATGTTTTGAAATTTTTGCCATCACTTTTTAACTTAAATATAACCAGCAGGGATCGAACCCGCGACCTTCAGGTTCCGCGACCACCGCGTTACCATTGAGCCACTGGGTCAGAATCCAATGCTCCATATTTCCAACTTCTGTTAGCTCACGATATAGCGCGAACCGCCACCTAATGTCATCGTTGAGTATTTGTCCTCACGGCCATCAAGCTTGACTCCACCGGTCACGACTTGTCATTGGAACTTCGGGAATACTTCTCGAAGCTAGTCACCAACGAGCACTAGTTCAATTAAATTTTGAGGGGGTTGTGGAGATTTGGTGGGGTCGTGGGTGCGCACTGCTGAGGAGTCCCATACTAGGACGAAACAGCTGTCCAGTGCTCCCAGGTTTCCTTTGTTCCTCCAACTGATGTCAGTCTTCGATGAATAACAACTTGAAATATTTCCAAATCTCCACAACCCCCTCAAGATTTAATTAAATATAACCATAAATTATGCTGAATCTTACAAGGCTTTACTATTTCTATATTCTAACCTTCAAAAACCTACACATGATAATATTATCGTAGATATGATGCAATGTTAGGAGAACTGGTGATCTGTTTTAAATGGTGTCTTATCAAATGTGTTTTTATTGGATGTTGAAATGTATAACCTGTTATCAATCGTTTGCATATATAATGATTGACTCGAGTCTAAATTTCTAGGGAAATTAAGTGATTTATATTGAGAAATAAATATAAGATCGACGAGACGTTGTGTATCGGCAGAAATGAGAATATGAAAGGAAGTGAAGTTCTTATCCATGCAGTCACTTTATACTAATATACCATAACATAACTTATGTAACTGCAATTCAACAATATTAAGTTAGGCAAGTTACAAATGACTAGTCCTCAAACAACTGTATTGAGTGGATTTTAGACTTAGATACAATGACATGTTGAGCATATTTGTAAAGTTTATTGACACTAATTAGTTAAATGTTAGTTACTCATTTTAGTATTGTGTGAATAAATGAATGCTTGGTTTGAAAATCATGGAAAAAATTCTTAGCTCAGACTGAGGATAATGTTGGTTCAATCTTCTCTAAGCTTTGGTTTTCAGTCGTTAACGTTTCATCACCAGGCTTGGTGATACCTTTAGTACTAACGTCTTTTTGAAGTGACGATGAAACGTTTACGATAAAATGTCAAATCTAAGAGAACACCGAACCACCAACAATATTATCGTTCACTATACCAATCAGTTATCAAATGCCTAAAAAACCCAAACTGTTTTGTTTACTCATCTCAAATTCACTGTTATTTCTAAGCTGTATTACCCTTACTGAGTATTATACCTTATCTTAGAGTATAAAATACGGATATATCAAAATGCCATAAACGAATCTTACTCTGAATACTGATTATGAATCTACATAGTTTATATCAATATACAACTACTTGACAAACTTACCCATCATAACTCCATGGTCCAAATTTAAGGACACATTTTTGTCGATCAAATGGAAAATATTTAATATCAACAGAACATGTACTCTTAAATATACTCATTGGATTCCATAGAACACTTCCATCTGAACCAATCCTTGCATCGCAAGGTCTTCGTTCATCAAGTCTTTCGTCTGCACTATAGATTAGCATAAAACCAATGAAATTAATCGTACGTTAAAATGCTTAAATAAGTTTCATTTGAAATCATATGATGAGAAAGATGTAAATAAATTTAGTAATTATTCTAAAATCTTCCTAAAAACAATGAGGTATACCGTATATTCGCTTGCAGATTGACTGTATATAAAATTTCACGTCAAAATCTGATTTCATGCAAATCTATGTATTTTTTTGGTTACTTTTAAGGAGAAGGGACTTGAAAACATCAGAACAATAAATGGTCTTTTGTAGACCTTTTCAAGAAAACTTTAGAAACCACTTTCACTCTTTCATTAAAAACTTATTCAGTGTTCATATTATCGTTCAATTTCACAATAACACTAGTGAATGTAAAACGAAGACTGAAAAGAATTTCACAGAATAAGTTCTGTCACAGAAAATTCATACAAATACATGTGGTTATTGACGAGAATACAAAAGCAGGTAAAAAGTACTGATTAGGCATTTAATAAAGTGTTTTTTAAGATAAACTGAAGTTGAAAGAAGATTAACACCACTTGTAGGCCTAAACTATCAGCCTTCAGTTAATAACTTGGTAATGAACTGCTGGGCAGTTCTATATCCCCAATATAGTTGTACCACAATATCAATTGAATGACGCAGGTCCTGGTTTATCTTCAGTAACCACTAATTCATACTGGAGTCATTCTTTTAGGCTGATGTTTATATGCGTTGTTATTCCAGTTCATTTTTGGTTTGCATCGGAAAAGATTCGGCTAACAGAAAGTACAATATCAACAGTCAGCTGAGTGTTACTGATTCATATGAACGATAGGCAGAACCGTTGATGATAAGGGGATTCTTAGCAATAAGTGAGCTGTAGACTGCAATTAAGTGATTTTATTCTCATTATAAAATATTACACATCAAAAGTTTTTCCACATTTTTAAAGGTATGAAGCTCTCATGCTCAAAAGGCTGAGCAAAATTTGCTTCCTTCTGTATAATGAGCATCAAAAATATTCTTTACTAAGTAACTGGCCAGTAAAGATACTTTGTTTAACTTTCGCTAGAACTATGCAGTGGAAAGTTGGTTTAGACAGCCAAGCCAAAGTGTTATCAAGAGTCAGCGGCGTTTTCTTATTTTAGATATAAATCATAAGAAACTGACAAACGGAAGTGAAATAACCTTGGTAACTAGAAGAACACTACAATGGTGTAGACATCTTGTGGTGAATAAAAGTTTGTAATTTTCTTACAGTGAAGCTTTTAAAATAAGAATAGAGTCAATGGGGTTCAGCATAAATTTATCAACTGAAAATGATAATAGGAAGTTGAGAAAATGTAGAAATGCGGGAAAATATTGAAATATTCTAGACATAACTGAGGCTTTGGCAGAAAATAATTGTTTGAAACTATTTTTCACTGTAGGTTGTAGGGATCTGTATAGTGTCTTGTGGTACAAAATACTTTGAATGGAAATACATTTGATTCATTCCCCCTGTATAAACTCTGCTGAATTGAATTTCATGAGATGCTCTCCTACGAAAAGGAAACACGTTGAAGTAAGATAAGTTTGTTGACTTACCAGCGTTGTATGTCTGATAACCATTCAAATGTGTCCTCGAAAGCAATTAGATATATATTTCCCTTCCTTATTTTTACTTGGATAGAAGCAAGTAAATTAATACACGACTAGTTAGCACCCAGCAGTGAAACTTGCCTACTGATAAGTTACAATAAGGGTTTAGGTTGTTATCAATGAATAAGAGCGGGTACTCTGCAGTTTGGTTGCTAGTGGCTCCCAATGGAATCCAGAACACACGTTTCATCCTATTTAGGACTCATAAGCTGGATTTACTTGGACTCCAGTGAGTGTTGTTATTCTCACTGAGACTTGAACTTATCGCCCATCGCTTCAAAAGCCAAAGCATTATCTACCAGGTATGTCTAAATGATGAGTCCCAGATAGAACGAAATGCCTGTCCTAGATTCCATTACTAACCCTACCGAGCAAGTTAAAACATGCTCAATAACGGCGCAAACCGAGATATCTTCATGGCAGCCTATATGCTAACACAGATTGATCACTTCGGTCCAGAATAACAACAAATAATGATAACAACGGGTATTATTGTATAAATTAAAATCGGAACATGATTTTACAGCATTTCACTGATGGGAAAAAAGTTTCAGGAGCAACAGTTCATAGAATGTAATCTTATACCCTGCCTTTCATACTGTTGCTCATATAGTTAGTAGGACCACTTTTCGGTGTAATGTTTTACCTACCAAAATGTGTTGACTATTAGTAAATAAAGCGGTTGTAGAATTTTATTTTTTCGTATGATTGCAAGCTATGCAAATGAGCCTTGTCTTTTAGTTCTCTTGATCACCGGTGCTCATCACAAAGAGGAATAATAGTCGTTCAGTGATTCATGGTTTAATTCATTGTGTTAGTCAGAATTGTCATTAATCAGTAATTCAGGCAGGGTAGTGCGTCTTATATAATCACATCACGTATGGTTACCGTTTGCGTCATCAATAAGGCTATCGTGCTTTTTAACTCCCAGTCTTGAATGAATCCTTCTTATGAATTGTAAAATAAATGACTGCACATTATGGTGGATTGCATATAGTGTCAATTTAATGATGACATTAGAAAATTGATTAGGAGAGTCAATGAGATACAGTAAGTTAGGTCACAGTCATTCAACTACTTTATTTGTCATGTTATCGACTACAATGGATCATTTGGCTAATCAGGTGCTGACTAAACATGAAAACTTTGGCACAAAATAAGATATCTTTTGCGAAAAAAGTTATCTGTCAATGGTGTTGGTGTATTCCAGTAACTCAGTTGCTGAAATGATGAAGCCTAGACGATTCTCACATATTAAAAATAACAAACACGAAAGAAAACCATATAAATGGCAATAATAGCCATACAAAGTAAAAGCAACTCTGGGATTTGAAAGATTAATAATTCCATAGTACTATCCATGGTTGCATACTGAGTTTATCTTTAGATAGTAGGTGCTTGAAGAAATGATCTGTTTAAAGCCTACTGTACTGCAGGAAATATTCTGTTGAACGTTGAACTATAATTCAGCAACAGGAAGACTGTTAAATGTCAAGCTTATTTCGTACAGTTAATTGATCAAATATTAACTCTTTTTTTTTAATTCATTTTAAATATTGAAACCAATTGAATATTGTAATGGCAATTGTTCATTTTGCCATCAGTAATGAAGAAGAAAAGTTTTGCATCTTCGTAGACAAAAAAGACAAAAGAAAAGTGTACACAGTAGTTATAATAACAACAGGATTATTAATAACAAATTTATTGATTAGATAGAAGCGATTATCAAAGGTTATGACCTTAGATTTATCAGTCTTCATAATGAAGTATAATACAATAATGATTAGAATGAACGTTGACATAATATATGCAGGGATAACTTTGATAAAGTTTATTATCATCAAAATGTCATTAAGGTATAAATATATATATATATATAATGTCGACTGCTATGAATTACTTTATAGGTTAATTAACTAACAAATGATTTTCCTTTCAGTTTTGTTATTTATTACCACCTTTGCTGATAAAAGAGTCAAGGGTGATTAGAGAAAAAAAGACAGAAACCGCCTTAATTATATGTTCTTGATTGCTTGTTCCCTTGTTTGGTAATCTTTTATCCATTCTTTCCAGTATTAGATGATAGCGATAATAATAATTAACATCTACCGACGAGCTGAAGCAAATAACTAACAAGTCAGAAAGTCCCTCTTTACTTCAAAAAAAAACTGTTGTAGGAGGACAATTGTAGCTAGCAATCACTACTGTCAACTTAGTTGTCTGAAATCCAAAAAAGTACACTAGTGTCTGAGATGATGTTGCTAACTGTGCCTTAAAGATGCTAACTACGAAGACTGCATGTGTACATCCACTGTTTTTAGAAAGCCGGGTGGTTTTCAGTAAAACTCATCTCATTCAACTTAGGGTTCTACTATTGAGTTCATAGGTAGAGAATATCATGATAAAGCGACCTTTAGCTAAATTCTTTTCCTTTCATATTGTGCTATTCAGTTAGACAGTATACATAACTTATATGTAGATGAGAAAATTGCTTTTCGGGATGGGGCTGATTGCCACAGATAAACAATAAGCATATACAGCTGTAATGATTCAGAAGCTGCTTCAGATATTAAAAAATTCCACCCTGTTTGTTATACAGGATGCGTAAGGCATATTTTCAAACTGCAGAGTTACTTTCAAATGAACAATAAATTGCGTCACGAACATTGCCAGTTAACCGATGTTGTTTTACTAAGGAATACATCTGATCAAAAAACTGAAATGAAAACACAGACTAACAAGCCAACCAAATCTTATTTTCAAAACAGCAGATACTGTAATAAAAAAATTACTGTTTACTTAGCTATTGCAAAAACCGCTTAAAAGTTCACCTCTTTGAATGCAGTTGAATCAATATTTTCTGAAATCCAAGTTCTCTTCATATTCAACCATCATTTGTACACACAAAGATCCACATACTAGTCAATGTCACCCACGTTAGTCTCTGTGACAGCTATCAAAAGCCAGACAAAGTCTCAGTAGTTAAAAGTTCTTACATAGAGTACTGATTTACTTTTCTTTACTAAATTATTTTTTTACTATTTGACTGTCTGAGATAGCTGTAGTTTGGCAGACTAGTATTTATACTGGGTAATGATTGAAGGTGAGATGAAAATCTGGACCGCTGCCGGATTTTCGGTATAAATTATTTCCAACAAATTGTCAATAACATGCGTTTTAGAAATTATACAACGTTAAGAATCATATATTTCTGTTCACTGCTCTGCAATTTTCGTTATCTACTCAACCACAGTCACATATGCTTTCAGACTACTCATTAATTAATCACATTTCAATACTTCTTAGCTCAATATCTAAAGAAATACGCGTACTGGAGGATACGTAGAAGTAGTTTTGATAAAGAATAAAAAAGTA